AGAAGTCGTAAAAAAGGTCAAAAATTTACTTTTTTTTTTAAAGCTAAAAATTTCAGCTTTTAAAATAAGCAGAAGTCAAAAGTCAAATATTTTTTTTAAAAATCTAAATAACTATAACTTTTATAATTAAAAGTACTTTTAAAATAAGGAAGCCATAAAAAGAAAAAAATTTTATAAACCAATGCAAACAGGCTCCCACCTTTCTAAAGTTATATATAATAAGGTAATCAAATTAGACGAACTCCACTCTATTTTACGAGTATAATATAAAAATGTTTTATTTCTAAATTATATATAAGTGTGGGTTATATTTATAAACTCAATGTTTATAAACTACACTATGTACTATAAGTAGTACATGCTTAAGTAATATGTACTACCCATAGTACATAATGTAATTTGTAAACTTTGAATTTGTAAATATAACCATTCTCTTATATATGTGTGTGAAATGTTGCAAATCTACAATTTGTGCAACACACAAATTTAAAACAAAAAGAGAAAGAGAGAGAGAAAATTGACACGAAGATTTATCCTGGTTCACCACCCAATGTAAGCTACATACAGCTTATCCGTACTATATTCACTTCACTGCCAATCGTTACAGGTTATTCGTGAGTCCAAACTCAAATTACTAAGAAAAATAAAATTACAATAAGACAGATGCTTACAATGTTATCAGGCCTCTACGAGATCGCAGTTGGCTTTCTATTAACCGCATCAACAAGAGCTCTTATCTGAATGCGAAGTATGAGTCATACCCAATATAAAATATTTTATACTTTATGAGTATATTACCCTTGAGACTAATTGCTGATTTTGACTTATCACATAAAACTCTCTACTATTTTCTTTTTTTTAACACTCTCTAGACTTATTTTTTAAATCTTACCTAAACTCCGTCATATTTTACAAATATATTACAGTTAAATCTCCTTTATTCTAGTAAAACTTTGAAATCATCAAAGACAGAGATTACAAAAAATTTAGAATAACATTAGAATAATACAAGAGAATAAACAACTAAATAATAGTTTGTTTCACAATTTTTAAATAAGGAAAAATACTATAAAATTGTTGCAATGAAAATTTAATAAAAGCTCCATCAGTTGAATTGTTATCACATACTAATAAAATGGATCAAAACTAATTTACTAGGATTAATTTTTTGAAAATTAAATGATAAAAGAATAAAATTTAAATTTATTAATACATGGATTTAAGTGAAAATACTTCATGTGAAAAATAATAAGATTTTTTCTCCTTAATGTTACGCAAAGTATAATTTTGTACGATAATCCTCTTTTATTATATAATTCTTGTAACATTTTTACTAAGATCTAGGTCTTAAGAAATTAAGACTTTATTATTTTTATCCTTAAATTCTTGAAAATTTGAAAATAATAAATGAGTTTTGATCCATATTATTAGTATGTGATAAGAGTTCTCATGATTAAGTTTTCAAAGAATTTTTTATGTAACATTTTTTATCAGAGGATAAGAAATTAGTCTAATCACACATGATTAAATCTGGCCCAAATTGATATATTTTGATATTGAAGGTTATCTTCAAGATTAAGAGATAATATGCGGATGATATCATAGGATGAAGCCTGGATCCCGCAAGTGGTTGATTTGACTAGAATAGGTTCGGGTGGATATCTGCAAGACACTCAGATGTTAAGTGATCGAGTTTCTAAATGAATGAGCTTTAAGTAATATGGGAAGATGAATGTATCTAGGTCTTAATTAGTCTTTCCATTTATTATGTGCAGCATGACGTGCTTGTAAACTCAATAAATCGCCTTTGAGTGTCGACTCAGTTGATATGTTTTTTGATTAGTTCATTTTAGTAACCTTCATAACCTATAACGCTTTGTGGGAGGCCGCCCTCTATTGGGATGTACTGTTAAACCTAAATTGAGATTATTGGCTAAGAATTACGATGGAGCAGTTTATGAATGTCTTAGTGAACTACATTATATATAGAGGCTTAGTTGGAAACTTGTCTTCATCTTTCTATCATTGGCTAAGTGAGGTGGTGATAAGATATGAGCTGCTAAGTAATCCGTAGGATAGCGTGTTATGAATTTTTACCCTAATTCAACTGGCTTCGTTGGTATATATTTTTGGTCTAGATGAAATTTTAAAGGACTATTTTTATTTTGAAGATATGAAACTATGACTTGCTTGGTTGTTTATTCTCTCATATTATTTTAATATTTATTTTAAAATTTGGTAGCAAAGTATCTAATAATTTCAAATTTTCAATATAATAAAGGGGATTGAACTGCAATTATAAAATATGAGGGATTTGTATGAAGTTTAAGAAATAGAATGAATTTTGTGTAATTAGAAAAAAAGAGTGACTATAAATAATAGGAATGGCTCTTATTTTTATTTTAATATAATTATCTTATGTTAAAAATTCAATTATTTATTAATTAACTAATAATTAATAATTAAAATGTTTTTTATTTTGCAAATTTTATCATTAAAATTGTGAACATTTGATCAGCTACCTTATTAAACTATCTACTGCCAAACGCATATATGATTTGATATGTTATTGAGTTATTTTATCTGTCATCTGAAATCTATGTCACTTCGGCTATATTCCCTCGCAAGAATGATGTGATAAATTAAAGAGAAATTTGTTTCTTATGTAGCTGGATTTTTTTTTTCTGCTATTGATTATAATTATGTATTTTGAGAAATATATAATTATAATATTAAATTTTTTTTTTCAGAAGTTATCGACTGATGTGAAGAAAAAAATAATTTTTATATTATAATTATGTATTTTTTAAAATATATAATTATAATCGATGACAAAAGAATTATTTTTATTGCGGTAATAAAAGAAAAAGAAGGACCGTAAATTAAATGTCGTAATTGAACGGCAAGCAAAGTTCCATGTCTACGAAGGAATTGAAATCACATGTCTTCCCATTCACCAAAAAAAAAGAAGAAATCACATGTCTTCCTTATTTGTTTTTTTTCATTTTTTATTTTTCAACTAAAAATAATATTTCAGAAAAAATAATTTGTCGTATTTATAAAACAACAACACTTTCTTTCTTTATTTTTAATTTTATTTTAATTAAAACGTTGTTTTTTAATTAAAGGGATAAATATAAACACAACAAAAGTAGAAAAGTGATTTGATTCCTTTGACGTTATAGTCTCAAACCTATAATCATATCTTTAAATGCAAACAAGACATTTCAATTTCCACGGCTGAAAATAGTTCAGGTTGATCAATCAACTTTCAAAAAGAAGGAAAAAAATTCAGGGTAAGTAAGGATAAGGAGAATATCTTAGGGGTGTTTGATAGGAGTTTTTTATTTTGTTGTCCGGGTGGAGATGGGATTCAAAGGAAATAATGTTTGGTACGGGTTTGAAAAAAATTTGCTTGGGAAACTTATTTGCATGGAAATATGATGGGTTTGTTTTTTCTACTATCAATGTAAATAATTTATTTACATTAAGCCCAAAATGATGTGCGTCTTGAAGCGGAAATTAAAGTATTTTTGTAATTATAATTTATTTCAGGATTATAATAGTCTTTTTCATTTTCATTTTTTAATTTTTCAACCCAAAATGACGTTATTTTGGGAGCAAATATAGATAAAATCTACGTTAACTATAGAAACATTAAAGCCAAAATTATGATTTGTGTGTAAAATTGAAGTCAGAATACCAATTAGAAATATCACCCAAGGAGTGATATTTTGATTTTACTGGCAAACCAAACAAAATTTGGGTGCAAAAATGTTTACAAAAATATCCCTGATTTTTCACGCTTATTTTTTGTGCTGTCGAAATGATTTTTATTTCACTTATGGCAAGTTTTGTGCGGGGAGAATTTGGATAATCCCTCCCCACTACGTGGTCGCTCCAAAAATTCGATCTTTTGAAGGTTTATGGGGATTTAAACGGTTTTTGGCATTAGTACCTAACCCTAAAATATTAGTGAAAAAATGGGTTAAAATTAAAAAAATAACTCTTTCCTTCTTCGTATCTCTCTCTCTTTCCCCCTCCGTACAACGTTTCTTCACCTCGCGTACCACACATTCTTGATCTGGTTCTTCATGGGACATCTAAAGCAACTTTAATATTTTACCTTCAACCAAACATAGACTCGAGAAACTTAAATCAATTTTGCTGATAATATTTCGGTAAACAATTTTTTTTTTTTAACTTTCTCAAGAAATTCACTTTTTCATCATATTTCTAATAATTGTGATTCCGAAATAATTTTTTTTTTTACTCTACCAAACATCATAGTGATACACACAAATTGGACCCATGCATTAATTTTTCACATCAGTTTGCTTACGTGCTTTTGAGAGTTTTTTTATTTTTTTTCTCCTTATAAATAAAAGTTAAGTCAAATGGGATTTATAAAAACTCAAAAAAAAAAAAGTCAAAAAACAAAAGCTCCCAGATAAGCTTTTTTTAAGTTGTATCAATTTTTTTTTGAAATATATGTTTTGAAAATGAACTGCTTTTGAATTATTTTTAAGCTAAAAATTTTATATGATGATCAAATAATTTATAACTTTATTTTTAATTTTTTTTCACTTTAAAAAAAATACCAAACAATCGTTTAGTACTAAAAATTCAGTAAACATTAAAGATATTCTCGTAAGCTAGGATCCACAATTGTACACAGAAATCACTAGAAACACAAAGATTGACTATGTAAGCAGATGAGATTTGATAGGGAGGGGTTAGAAGATGTCTTCGTTTCCTTTACATTTATATAAACTTTAGAAGTGAATATAATTTTTTAATTTTTTTATTCACAAATATTTATTTGTTTAGATAATTTAACCCCTTAATCTCAAATCAGATTTAATCACAGTCAAAATTGATTGCGCCTTTTGTTACCAAAAAATAATAAAATTCATTGCGCCTCCTAAATATCTATTTCTGGCTGTGCCGTGAAACGACCAACTTAACCCGAGCCCCTATTTATATGAGGCACAACATGCAATCATTGATACATCTCAGAATCAATAAACAAAATATCGCTCTAACAACCAGTATCAATAATCAATCAAATGACCGCGTTCTTCTATTACACCTTCCTCTCTGTTCTTTTCCTTCTAACTCTGAATTTCTTGTTCCCAACAAGAAGATTCAGGAACCTTCCTCCAGGTCCATCATGTCTTCCCATAATCGGCAACCTCCACCAACTTAAACACCCACTCCACCGCACCTTCCAACGCCTATCACAAAAACATGGCCAAGTCTTTTCTCTGTGGTTTGGCTCCCGTTTCGTGGTTGTCGTTTCATCACCTTCCGTAGTCCAAGAATGTTTCACCCAAAACGACACCATCCTAGCAAACCGGCCACCGTTTCTCACCGGCAAGCACATCGGCTACAACTTCACCGCCGTGACGGTGGCCCCTTACGGCGACCACTGGCGCAACCTCCGCCGCATCATCTCCCTCGAGGTCCTCTCGACGCACCGTATCAACTCCTTCTTGGGAATAAGAATGGACGAGATCATGAAGATAGTGCAAAAGCTAGCTCGTGATTCGACCAGGGACTTTGCTAAGGTGGAACTGAAGTCATTGTTTTCAGAGATGACGTTTAACATCATAATGAGAATGATCTCAGGAAAGAGATACTATGGAGAGGATTGTGATGTGACCGATGTTGAAGAAGCGAGGAAATTCAGAGAGCTCATGAAAGAGCTTATATCATTTGGAGGGACAAGCAACCCTGCAGAATTCGTGGGTGTTCTTAGGTTGTTCGATTTTGATAATTTGGAGAAAAGGCTAAAGAGTATTAGTAGTAGAAATGACGCTTTCTTACAAGGACTACTTGATGAGCATCGCAGTGGGAAGCAGAGTGCTAATACTATGATAGATCATCTCTTAAGTCTGCAACAATCACAGCCTGAATATTATACAGATCAAATCATCAAAGGGATTATTCTGGTAACTATTGTTATAAACATTTTTACTTTATATTTGAATTGCTGTGATTATTGTTCTGGATATATATTCTCCATCTTTTGCTACCTTCTTTATATTTAGCTGAGTTTGCAATTTCATGGTCAAGAAACTATATGGGGAAGAGGAATAGACGCTCTTGACTTAACATAACCAAGTTCGCAAAGTGACTTAAAAGTAAATGAAAATTTTGGTGAATATATTTTTGGGAAAAAGGTTGGTGTTCTAGAGAACACAAACTTGTATTCTTTTAATATTTAACACTATCTCTTAAATGTAACATATAGTTATAAGGGTCAGAATATTTTTACCTGAAGTCTCACGCTCCTCAATCTTGATCATTGATCCACTTGTATCCAATGGCTCATATTTCTAAAAAAATTAGAGTCCTTAGATATAAGTGGGATTAACGGATAAGATTGAAAGTGTAACTTAACTGATGTAAAATGATCCTAACCCTAGTTATAATATGAATTTTTTTTCATCTCTTTTCAATTTCATATTATAATTATATCTTACTGATAAAATATAATATTAAAAATTAAAAGTACATGAGTTGTATCCTTTAAAAGTATGTACTCTTAACCCATATTTTTTTTATACAACTATCACAGTTGAAATTTATAAATAATTACTTAATTTTCATTAACATAATCATGGTAAATATATTCAAATTTGGGAACATGACCGATAAAATCAAAATATACGCTGTGGTTTGCGTCAGAATCACCTATGCTACTGTGGTTTTTTTTCTATCACATATGCCCCTGTGCTTTGTAAAAAATAAAAAAACCACATGGGCGTATGTGATAAAAAACATACCCTTTTGCAAATCACAGGGACATATGTGATAGAAAAAAAACCACAGAAACATAAGTAATTTTGAAGCAAACCACACGGTGTTGGTGAACTTTTTCCTTTTTTATTTTTTTTGACTCATTTGACTTCACAGGTTATGCTCCTCGGAGGAACAGAGACTTCAGCGACAACTTTAGAATGGGCAATGTCTGCTTTACTAAATCATCCAGAAGTGTTGAAGAAGGCAATGGATGAAATAGATACTCACACAGGACAAGATCGCCTATTAGATGAGTCAGACATTTCGAAAATTCCCTACCTTCAAAATATTATCTATGAGACATTTCGGTTGCATCCTGCATTCCCATTATTGGCACCTCATTTTTCTTCAAAAGATTGCACCATAGGAGGATATAATGTCCCAAAAGGCACTATTTTGTTGGTTAATGCTTGGGCCATTCATAGAGATTCTCAGCTATGGAGTGACCCTATACAATTTAAGCCTGAGAGATTTGAGAAAGAAGGGGAAGCAGATAAGTTAATTCCATTTGGGTTGGGAAGAAGGGCTTGTCCTGGAGCAGGATTGGGGCAGCGTACCGTAGGTTTAACTTTGGGGTTATTGATTCAATGTTTTCAGTGGAAACGAGTAAGTGAGAAAGAAATTGATATGACTGAAGGAAAAGGGGCCACAACGCCGAAACTGATTCCCTTAGAGGCCATGTGTAAAGCACGTCCAACTATCATCAACAAGGTTTTTCAGACAGCCGGTGAAAACATGTAGGTGAAATTATCGTTTTCTAGCAGTTATATGATCTAGGTATAATAAAATGTACACAATGCACTGTTTTTCGTGTACTCAAACACCATATGTGTGGTTAAATAAGCATATTAAGTTGGCAACCAGAGCTGTTTTATGGGCTGCTAAGCGGGGTGGGTTAAATGGGACATAGGTGGGGTGTGTCAATGCGCAGGCCAACCTGTATGTAATTTAAGCTTGATTTTGAATTTAAATGTTAGTATTTATACAAATCAAACTAATGCTTATGAAATTTTAATTACAGGATGCAATGACGTGTTCATTTGTAAATATTTACTTATTGGTAACTTAAATCCTATTGTGAGCACTTTGTGGCCCGGCCAAACTTGTAGGATTCTGGGGGAAAAAAACAAAACAAGACACACAATACAAAAATCACATGTGTATGTATCATCATCATCATCTGGTTTCCCTTTTTCTGGGCAAAATTACCTTGTTCTTCAGTTACTTCTAAACTTTCTTATTAAAATGAAAAAATCTTAGTACCTTTAGTTTTCTTTTCAGTTAACCATCTTTGTAGTGAAATCAGTCGCTCATAATGTTCATTGAATGTTATTATATAAAAGAATTAAATGAAGCTAAGTTATGCCTAACACTAAGAACTTTGAGCTCGACTGAATTGTTATCAAACTGTAAATTTAAGCTTAAACTTGAATTGTTTAAAATACATTCAATTATAGGCCTGAATAGGCATTGCTCAATTATCACAACGAGCCAATATAATTATATAAACGTAAATGAGTTTACGAATCAACTTTAACGAGTTATTAATGAAATAATCCAAGTAAAGATTGCCTAGAGTACACTCTTGGACAATTCAATAAATTATTTTTTTTTAATTATGCTAGTAGGAATGAAATTCTAATATATGTAGTTGTAAATTAACGAAAAGAAAGAGAATCTAAATAGGACAAACCGTCATGGATGTCTTTGCTTCGGAACAAAGCAATTCGAATTAGCCTCTTGTTTGCAAAATTGTTACACCATATCTTCGAACCATACATATAGTCAATAGTCTCAAACCAATAATCTTTTAACATGATCAAGACCTTTCAATTTTCATGGTTCAAATCTATGATTCGCGCACACGGGACACGACACGACACGCCGACACGTTAATTTTAAAAAATGTTATATTTTGACACGTTGGGACACGTTTTGATATTAAATAAATTTTTTAATATATATAATATAATTTATATTTAATACATATAAGAGTCCATAATAAGTCATATAACCAAACAAATATTTAAATTTCATAATATAAATATAAATATATATAATTTTTCGTACTTTGTTAATTTTTCATGTCAAATTTCATAACAGAAAAAAATCAATTTATAAATTATTTCTTTTATATTTAGTTAACAAAATAAAATTAAGATTTAAAAAAAAAAAAACGTGTCCGAGCGTGTCCTAGCGTTGACCGCGTGTCCAAAAAATTGACCGCGTGTCCAAAAAACGTGTCGGAACGTGTTGGAGAATTGACTGCGTGTCCCCAAATGTTGACTGCGTATCGGTCGGACACATGTCCGAGCTTGTCCCTGTAGAACACGTATCCGACACACAAATTTTTTTCTAAAGAGCGTGTCCGTGCTTTTGCTGGTTCAAATAGACCCGGTAAATGATAAATCAACTTTAAGAAAGAAAGAAAAAAGAAAAAAGAAAAATCAAAGTTGACGACTTGACCTGTGTTGAAGTCTTCCACTGATCTCAGTCACTTGGTCATTCATGTCCCATATCCCTATTATCAGAGATAAGATATTCATTGCCGAAAATAATCATCTAACACCAATTTACAATGGCAACCATTCAGCTCCTCAGAATTCAAAACACTCTGTCCGTGCATGTTTTTCTTCTTCAGTTTTCATCACTGCTGTTCCCCTCACTCGGCTACACTCTCCCAGATAAGTACTTCATCAATTGTGGGTCAGATGTTAATGTTACTGAAAGTGGTCACGTTTACGTTGGAGAATCAAACCCAATAGTCAGATTTAGCAGCAGCAACAAAGAAAGCACACAGTCATCAGTGCCTTCTCCTCTCTACCAAACAGCAAGGATTTTTCGAAAAATATCTTATTATGAGTTCAGTACCGTCACAAACGGCACCTACCTGGTACGCCTCCATTTCTTTGCTTTCACTTCCCAAAGTAACCTATCCTCGGCTATATTCAATGTTTCGGTTCCTGGGTTCTGTTTGTTGCAAAATTTCAATGCCGAAAATAATAGCAACTCTGCTTTAGTAAAAGAGTTTTTCATGAAAATCACAGACCGCAGCTTCAAAATCATTTTCACACCACTGGCACAATCATTTGCGTTTGTGAATGCTATAGAACTCTTCGTACTCCCTCTCTATTTGATCTCCGATCTTGTCTCAAGTTTCACTTACGGCACTCAGAGAAACTTAACTAGTTACAATGGCTTGCTCTCGCATGCGTTGGAGACCAAACACAGGCTTAACGTTGGTGGAGAAAATGTCACAAGGAGCAACGATAATTTATTGAGAAACTGGTTTCCAGATGATAGTTATCTCAGTAATCCAGGAAACGCGGAGAATAGTTCATACTCGGGTCAAATTAAGTACCATGTAGATGATAACTATGATGGTCCAAACTCAAATCAATTTACTGCGCCAAGAGAAGTCTACCAAACTGCTAAAGTGATTAATAACAATTCTTCCAGTGCAGGAGGCTCTAACCTTTTAAACATAACTTGGGGTCTTCCTGTGGACAATAATACATATCATCTTGTTCGGCTTCATTTCTGTGACTTATGGAATATACAGCCTGGTCTTACAACCTTCAATCTGTCCATTTATGACAGCCTTGTTACGGTGGTCAATATGAATGACCCAAACGTGTATAACCAGTTGCCTGCACCTTATTATTATGATATTGTGGTTCACTCTGATGATTCTGGGCTCATAAAGATCAGTGTAGAACCTAATTTAGCATCTGCTCATGGACCGGATGCTTTTCTAAACGGGCTTGAAATAATGAAACTGATTGATTCATCAGAAATAATTGTTCCCCTTGACGAATCCAAGCATAATCTTCTTCCAGTGGTGCTGGGTTCAGTTGCTGGAGGTTTAGTCCTGCTTTCTGTCGTGGTAGTTGGGTTTCTTTGGTGTCTTAAATTCAGGAATCAAAGGCCCATCGAAAATTCAGATTGGTTGCCAATTCCAGTCACTGCAGGAGGGAGTTCTCACAGCAGATTGACAGAGGGAACCATCCCATTTCTTGGGCTGAAAATTTCCTTTCTTGATCTTCAATCGGCAACCAATAACTTTGATGCAAAGCAGATAATTGGGAAGGGTGGTTTTGGTAACGTCTATAAAGGAGTTCTCAAGAATGGGATGAGAGTGGCTGTGAAAAGAAGTGAGCCGGGGTCAGGTCAAGGCCTTCCAGAATTTCAGACAGAGATAATGGTTTTGTCCAAGATTCGTCACAGGCACCTTGTTTCCTTAATTGGGTACTGTGACGAAAGGAATGAGATGATACTGGTTTACGAGTACATGGAAAATGGGACACTCAGAGACCATTTGTACAACACGAATTTGCCAAGCTTGTCTTGGAAGCAAAGGCTTGAAATTTGTATTGGAGCTGCCAGGGGTCTTCATTACCTTCACAAAGGAGCTACTGGGGGTGTCATTCACCGTGATGTAAAGTCCACCAACATATTGCTTGATGAGAACCATGTGGCTAAAGTTGCTGACTTTGGCCTTTCAAGGTCAGGTCCTCTTGATCATCAAACATGTGTCAGCACTGGTGTTAAAGGCACTTTTGGGTATCTTGATCCTGAGTATTTCAGGTTGCAACTGCTGACAGAAAAATCTGATGTCTATTCATTTGGGGTAGTTCTTCTGGAAGTGTTATGTGCAAGACCAGCCATTGACCCATCACTTCCAAGGGAGCAGGTGAACTTGGCTGAATTGGGATTGTTTTGCAAAAACAACGGAATGCTGGAAGTGATCATTGATCCTTCCATCAAGGGCCAAATAGATCAAAACTCTCTCAGAAAATTTAGTGAGACAGTAGAAAAATGCATAGAAGACAATGGTTGTGATAGGCCAACCATGGGTGATGTGTTGTGGGACTTGGAGTATGCGCTGCAGCTTCAGCGAGGTGCAATACATAGAGAGCCACATGGGGATAGTTCTAGCAGTGCTTCTGCATCACTTCAATTGCCCAATGTTCGGCGTTTTCCTTCACTCTCCACACGAAGTGAAGTGGATGACTTGTCCTTTGTGAGGGGTAATGAATCCGATAGTGCAGCGGATTCCGTTTTCTCTCGGTTGAAAATTGATGACGCCAGATAGAATATCAAGTCATTCCAGGCACAATAACCTATCCCCAAATTGATTTTCCGAAAGTTTCACTGACAACTGCGGAGAATATCAAGGAAACATCAACCTAAGCTCCTATACCATATTAGAAGTAGAAATAAAGATGTGTTTGAACATTATATGTTCTGAGCCTTAGGCCTATCTATATAAGTAGGTGTCAAGGTAAAGAAGAAAAGTACAATCAATCGGTCTCCAAATTATATACAAATCACATCCAAATCATTCAATCTGAGACCACTTTCAAGCACTATTTTCAGCCATCGTTCTCCTTTTCTCTTTCTCTCTCTAGGAAAGGGATCAATGCGCATAGGTCCGATGTCATTCATATATTGTACCCGCTCAGTTTAAGATATTAAACTATGGCAAAAGCTGCTTACCTGCAAAAAAAATTTCCTCATCAAAGCATATGTGGGAATTTTGTCGTACGTAGTCAAATGCATTAACTAACATGATGAATTCAGTCCTCTCAACAATACTCACGCCACTTATGTCCACATCAACGAATTGCTAGAGTATCTCTCCACGTGGTGTTATTCAGTTGAGTCCCATCAACAAATATAACGGAACAACTCATGTCAAGCTTTTGACGCCACATAATTGCATCACTGACGGTACTCATCTCGTCATGCACATTGATGTGGCTCCATCCATCGTGTTGGTGTTTCAAGGTTGCTGTTGATGTCCTATTTTTTAGGAGTTAATTAGTTGTTTTTTAAATTGATTAGTCTTTTGTTTAGGAGTTTGTTTACTGCATTTTACTGTTATTGCTTTGTTAGTTTGTTGCTGATTTTGTGGACCAACGAAATCAGCTGGTTAGTAGCAACCGCATGAGCTCAGTTTTGTATTTAAAAACAAGTTCATTAGTCAGAATAAAATAAGCTGTTGCACAATATTGTTTCTGATGTTTGTTTTTCTCATAAAAGATCAACATTGGTATCAGAGCCTTCTTGATCTTAAGGGGCTGTGAGTGACTTGAGAAATTAATGGAGGGAGGATCGAGTGGTTTTTCAGCAATGGCTCCACCAATATTCGATGGAGAAAATTATCAAGCATGGGCAGTGAGAATGCAAGCCTATCTAGAGGGTTGTGATTTTTGGGAAGCTGTAGAACAAGATTATGAAGTTGCTCCCCTTCCTGATAATCCAACCATCAATCAGATCAAGTTTCATAAGGAGAGGATAACAAGAAAAGCAAAGGCAAAGTTTTGTTTATATGCTGCTGTCTCACCTGCCATTTTCAGCAGAATTATGGCTTGTGAATCAGCTCAAGCTATTTGGGACTTCCTCAAAGATGAGTATAAAGGAGATGAGAGGATTAGAAGCATGAAGGGGCTGAATCTAATCACACAATTTGAGAGATTGCAGATGAAGGAGTCTGAAACAATTAAGGAGTATTCTGATAAGTTGGTAAATATTGCAAATCAAGCAAGAGCTCTAGGCACTGACCTCTCTGATAATAGGCTAGTGCAAAAGGTTCTTGTCTCCTTGCCCGAAAGGTTTGAAGCAACCATTGCATCTTTGGAGAATACCAAGGATTTGTCTCAAATCAAGTTGGCAGAATTGCTAAGTGCTCTGCAAGCACAAGAGCAGAGAAGGTTAATGAGGCTTGAAGGAAGTACAGAAGGAGCTTTGCAGGCTAAAGAACAGCATAATGTAAGATGGAAGAAAGGAGATGACAGTAGTGGTTCAGAAGCTGCTGCAGGAGAGAACAATGCAATCAACTCTAAGAACAATTGGGGCGGGCATTCCTCATGTAAGCATTGTGGAAAGCAGAATCACCCACACTTCAGATGTTGGAAGAGGCCAGATGTGAAGTGCAGAAAGTGTCATAGGCTTGGGCACATTGAAAGGTTCTGCAAAGAAAAAGGAGATCAGCAGCAAGGTGAGGCACATGTTGCAGACCAGCATGAGGCAGATCAATTATTTGCTGCCTCTTGTTTCTCCTCTAGTGCTCCATGTGATAGTTGGCTTGTTGATAGTGGTTGCACAAATCACATGACAAGTGATGAAAAGCTATTTAGAGACCTTGACAAGTCATTGCAGTCAAGAGTGAGAATTGGAAATGGAGAGTATCTAGAAGTGAAAGGTAAAGGGACTGTAGCAATAGAGAGCTATGCTGGAACTAAGCTGGTTTCTGGTGTGATGTACGTGCCTGATATTGATCAGAATTTGCTGAGTGTGGGGCAGTTGGTAGAAAAGGGATTTAAAGTGATATTTGAAGAAGGGAAGTGTTTGATCTTTGACTCAAATGGTCAGGAGTTGTTCAGAATAAAGATGCAACAGAAGAGTTTTTCTCTAAATCCCCTTGAGAAGGAGCAAGCGGCATTCAAGTGTCAGACTAGTGATTCAGAAATATGGCACAAAAGGTTGGGGCATTTTCATTACAAAGGCTTACTATTCATGCAGAAGAATGAAATGGCAACTGGGTTACCAATCCTGGAGGAGCAGATCACAAGGTGCAAAGCTTGTTTTTTGGGCAAACAGACAAGACTTCCTTTCAAAGAATCCACCTGGAGAGCTACAAAGAAGCTACAACTAATTCATACAGATCTTTGTCCAAGTGAACTGCATATGGTAGCTGCAAAAAGGGTGTTAAGGTACTTGAAAGGTACTCTTTCATATGGAATCAAATTCTGCAGAATTCAGAAGTTTAAGTTGCAAGGGTATTCTGACAGTGACTGGGCTGGATCAGTGGATGATATGAAAAGTACTTCGGGTTATTGTTTTACATTTGGGTCAGCTTGTTTTTCTTGGTGTTCAAAGAAGCAGGAAATAGTGGCCCAATCAACTGCAGAAGCTGAGTTCATTGCAGCTACTGCAGCTGTAAACCAAGCATTATGGTTGAAGAAGCTGATGGATGACCTGCATTTGGAGCAAAAAGAAGGCATAGAAGTATTTGTGGATAATCAAGCTGCTATAGCTATTTCACAGAATCCAGTATTTCATGGAAGAACAAAGCATTTTAAGATCAAGTATTATTTTTTGAGAGAAGTGCAGAAGGCTGGAGAAGTGAAGCTAATGTACTGCAGTTCAGAAAACCAAATTGCAGATATATTCACCAAGTCATTTCATGTTAGTCGATTTGAATTTCTCAGGGAGAAGCTAGGAGTGTGCAGCACTTGATCCAGGAGGAGAATGTTGGTGTTTCAAGGCTGCTGTTGATGTCCTATTTTTTAGGAGTTAATTAGTTGTTTTTTAAATTGATTAGTCTTTTGTTTAGGAGTTTGTTTACTGCATTTTACTGTTATTGCTTTGTTAGTTTGTTGCTGATTTTGTGGACCAACAAAATCAGCTGGTTAGTAGCAACCGCATGAGCTCAGTTTTGTATTTAAAAACAAGTTCATTAGTCAGAATAAAATAAGCTGTTGCACAATATTGTTTCTGATGTTTGTTTTTCTCATAAAAGATCAACACATCGACACAGAAAAGACAAAACACCGTACTGCGTGGAATCAACATCATACTGCATATAATCTTAAATAGTTTCGTCTGTGAATAAAAGAGAAAGCAAGTTAAGCGCGAAATCGAGATAGTTTCGCCCGTGAATAAAAAGAAAAGCAAGGATACTGACAAGCATGGTAATGAAATAGTGATACAGATGTGATTTTTTTTTTTGAGACATATGAATAGATACACTTAAATCCTGACCACTCATTTTATGTAACGAATCCCAAATCTTGTATATATATACCCTTTTAGTCGTTCAATGGATTGTTCAGTGTAGTATTGTAAATGTGTTTTTTTTACTTTGTGTTTTCAGTCATTATCATCTCACACTTTCACATTTTATCAATTGCAATTTGTGATTTATATAGTTCGCAGTCACCCATTGGATCTTATCATGTTATATTAATCGCAAAGCTATTTTAAGCATAATATCCGAAATTAATTTGTATTTTATTTGCATAAAAACACTACTGCAATGGACTAGTTTCGTTCGTTCGTTCGTATACTACAATGGTAGTAAAAATGTAGGTGCAGGTGGTTTAAGCTTCGAAGGGGGGAAAAGAACAATGTATATTGTCCGAGGCATGTCCGTTGTGGATCTGTATGAGAAGATTCGTCAGAAGTTGGATCTGCAACACAATAAGGTAATACCTTCAGTTACGGGTAGAGTCTCGTGTGAAAATCGCAAATATGCAAGTATTGAAATATATGATGATGAGGACGTAGATGTTTTCCTTACAACATTCATCGAAAACAATACGTCTCAATTTGTTGAGTTATATGTCGATATTGAGACATAAGAGGATCTATCAATACCGATTCATGGGCTGGATCTTAATAGTCAGTCACATTATGTACCGTCGTCTATTTTGCAGCCCACACAATCAACCGTTGCACATGGAGAAGAAAGCGACTATATGGTAGATGTTGAACCTGACAATGAAGAAGGAGAGGAAAAGGAAGATGGCGATACTCTGTTGGCAAATGACCATGATCAGAATGACAGCAATGTAGGTGATGAACATCATGATAATCCGATGGAATACGAGACGGGTATCCTTATATCCAATATCGTAGTTGTTCCACCATCATCAGGTTAGTTAGAGAGTTGTGTTATTATTTTTTGTTTTTTTTTTTAGTTACCACGTTTTCGCATCTACCCTATTATATATGTATATGCATATGTGACATCATTTTGGAACGCAATTCCACACTACGAGGCTGTTAATTGTGATTATCCAACAAAGACATACTGGATGTCGAAGGATTAGGTTGTGGTCTATAACACCCCGTATATATCCGGTAATGTTATCATATCATCGTATTAAGCTGCGCTTAATTAAAATTGCGGAATATCTTTTTCTTTTCAGTTATGACGTCATTATACTTAGCCAAGTTGAATACTTAATTCATTTTCAAAACATTGCCTGTATGTAAATTGCAAAAGATAGCTAACTGAAATACTTCATAACATAAACAACATAAGTATGTCTCTAGTCACGGAACTACAACACGTAGCCGGACAACCCTTATAGTTTATA